TATATATATATATTGTTTCTGAGCACATACAAAAAATGTGAACTGCATTTTACTAGAAAGTGTTTTTTTGTTTTTTTACCTTTTTAGTTTTTCCCAACTTCCTGTTCAGGAAAACGTCCCCACAGGATGATGCTGCYATCATGTTGGTATTAATTTGTTTTTATCCACTGGAAGGTTCTCACATCCTTCCATCCTGCTCACAAGTYAACAGCTTTCCCTGCCTCAATGCCAGCTTTAGTTTTTCTGCTCTTTTATGAGCTAAACTCAGTTAGGGACAGATGGACTTCAGTCAAGCTATGGGSAAAACTGCAGAGGCCACAAATAAAAAGAGGAACTATTTATTATAAGACTTAAAGGACAAAAGTGGGAAAAATGGACCTTTTGGAGAGAGAAGGGTGGACATCAGCACCGTGGAACTGTCAGGATGGTTTCTTTGTGGCYCATTTCGCTCATTTGAGCAGGTTTATATGACTGCAGCTTCAGTTTTAAACACTGGGCTGACAGTTTAACAGACACAACTGTGTATAATAAGATTTATAATGTTCCAGGATAATAAAATGAACAGAAGTCACAGGAGTTAGTCTGTAGAAACTATTTTTTAAACAAACATTTTATATATCTGTTTGCTGTAACGTCCTGCTCTGTTAGAATGAACCCAACCTCAGATCTCGCTGCTCTCGCTCTTGTGATTATCATAGATATTAACTCAGAGGGGAGAAGCTGAACTTTAAGTTCTGCTTTTCAGAGGCGACTGAGCGATTCGACAGACGTCTCCCTCGGGTCTGATGCTTTGACGTCTGCAGGGCAGGAYGGCGAGCCTGATGAGGGTTTTAGCTCAGCAGATCCGTCACCCCTCCCATCCCGACATGCTCAGTGATTAACCCCACCAAACGTCAGCAACCCCCACCCCACCCTGCTATCTGGGGCGAGGACACATCCCTTTCATTTCTACATTTGTCTCCCATTTCGCCTGCATAAGAAACGATTATTATGCTGGTTCCCCACCGTCCCTTCTCACTGTCAGGACTTGTTCTGATCTCAGTCTGTTGTCCTGGTTTATTTTCCTCACATCGCCTTCATTTCACCTTCATCCCTTTCTTCTGATTCTTCTCTCCTTTTTTTTATTACCCTCTGCTCCTTCAACAGAATCTTCACTTCTCCATTGGGCTGCACAGCATCCAAACCTACACATCAGTGGTTTATTCTCTGAAATTACACCAAAATATTTTGATRATAATCCGATTCCACAGCAGTTGTTTCAGATTTGTCTCCTTTTTTGAAACCTAAGTAACCAGTGGTGATTCTACAGACTAAACTATACTCTGATAAAAATGTATAAAATATGTTGGTTTTGACCTCCATTTGTGGTGCCCCCWGCATGGACGGCACCCTTAGCATTTCCYTACCCTGCCTATWCCACGGGCAGGCCATGGGTACAAATATAGTTAAATAGTTCAGAACATAAAAGTGCTGTTCAAGAGATCTGAACTATTTATCTATATGGCCTGCCCATGGTATAGGCAGTTTAGGGAAATGCTAAGGGTGCCGTCCATGTGGGGGGCACCACAAATGGAGGACAAAAAAATATTTTATCAATTTTTAGTTGATTTTGTCAATAGAATAATCACTGGTTACTCAGGTTTATGAAGGTAACTTGTTCTGTTGGTTTCTCAACTTTGTTACTACATGAGGTGTTGTATTGAGCAGAGGATATTTTGTGATAAAAGTATCATATGATGCAGTCAAGACTAGCTACTGTTGTTTTGTGCTTAAATAGAAAACAAAATAAGGATAATGGAAGTTTCAGTTATAATTTCAGATAAAGTTCAGGATAAAGCCTCATTTTTGGTCTTCTACCTTCATAAAATACTGATTTTATGTTTTATTAATCCCAAAAATGTTGTAAAATGGACATCAATTGGCTGGAAAATGCAGAGTTTTGGGTAGATCTTTTACAAAGTTTTCCAGGAGACTATACCCCTGGACCCCCCTAGAACTGCTTCACTCCACAGCAGCTTGTTATCATGAACAGGTTGACTTCTGGTATTCTGTTTCAAATGAATTACATCGTTAACTATTTTAATCGTACAACCTGGAAAATTATTTCATTTTATATGTGAATGTCTGGAAATTGCCAGTGAAATTTTGAAAATTACACAAGGGCACCACCTGAAATCATGCCTAAGGCACCATATTGGTTAGGGCCGGCCCTGTACCCATATACAGTGTGTGTGTATGTATATATATA